ATTGGTTTGCATGGTTTGTTGGATACATCTCATGGTGTTGTATCTTCTATTTTTGATCTTGAAGGAAGTTCAAACTTATTTGAACTTAACTTGAATACTTTCCTACAAGACAAACTTAGATTATATGAGTTTCCTAGACTCCTCTTAACACCTTTTTCTCATATGTATCTAACAAATGGTTTAAGTTTTCTTTATTTTCCAAGACATGTCTAGGTCACTACATTGGATACCTCCAACAAGATATTTTAGTTTTTAGGACTAATGCTTTAGTGTGTTATAATTTTAGTCTTTTTACCTTTTTAGGCTTTGGTTATACACCTAGACTTCACCATGGAGAGGATCCTACCTTTAGCATTAGGGAGTCTAGTCTTTTTAGTTTAGACAATCTTAAAGTTGACAATGAGGTAAGCGACTCAGACTCCTCCATTTATTCATATGATCAATTACATGATGTTTTCTGTGATTTGTATAAAGAAGCTAAGAAGTTAAGCTCTCTAAACAAAAAGTTGAAAGGCAATATTAAAGAAATGGAATTGAAAATCTATTTTCTTGAAAAAGATATTCATTTGCTCAAATCTGAAAATGAGAAATTGAAATTGCCATTTTTAGAATGCAAAAACTTATATGTTGTTTTGAAAAAGAAAAATGAAGCATCAATGAATAGAAGCAAATCCATAACTTCACACATTTCATGTAATTATTGCATGAAACCTAGAAATAGCTCTTATAAATGTATGATAAGAAAATTTGGTGTTTGTTAATCCTTTTACCAACAAATAATGTTTCATTGGTTGACTTATCACACACCAAACAACATTCATTATTAAAGGAGACATTGAAATTTTTGTCACAAAGCTAGCTAATACTAAGCAAATTATATTTCAGACCTTCAACATATAGAACATCTTCAATAAGGGTATTAGAGGAGTTACCAACAGTACCCGTTCCTATTATTTTGCCTTTGTTGTTATCTCCATATGTTATAGTTCCACTTTCTTTTTCTTTTAGGGATACAAACTTTCTTTTTCTTGTAGGGATACAAACTTTCTTTTGTCCCCTGTCACATGTCTTGAGCAACCACTGTCCAGATACCACATTGTTTGCTTGGCTCTCAAGCACACCTATAATTAAGAGAGTAACTGTATTTTGGTACCCAAAAGATCTTGGGTGCTTGCATGTTAGTGCAATCATCATTCAATTTCTTAATCCATACAAACATTCCACTTGGAACACCAAATTTTCTTATCATACATTTATAAGAGCTATGTCTAGGTTTCATGCAATAATTACATGAAATGTGTGAAGTTCATTTATTCATATGATCAATTACATGATGTTTTCTGTGATTTGTATAAAGAAGCTAAGAAGTTAAGCTCTCTAAACAAAAAGTTGAAAGGCAATATTAAAGAAATGGAATTGAAAATCTATTTTCTTGAAAAAGATATTCATTTGCTCAAATCTGAAAATGAGAAATTGAAATTGCCATTTTTAGAATGCAAAAACTTATATGTTGTTTTGAAAAAGAAAAATGAAGCATCAATGAATAGAAGCAAATCCATAACTTCACACATTTCATGTAATTATTGCATGAAACCTAGACATAGCTCTTATAAATGTATGATAAGAAAATTTGGTGTTCCAAGTGGAATGTTTGTATGGATTAAGAAATTGAATGATGATTGCACTAACATGCAAGCACCCAAGATCTTTTGGGTACCAAAATACAGTTACTCTCTTAATTATAGGTGTGCTTGAGAGCCAAGCAAACAATGTGGTATCTGGACAGTGGTTGCTCAAGACATGTGACAGGGGACAAAAGAAAGTTTGTATCCCTACAAGAAAAAGAAAGTTTGTATCCCTAAAAGAAAAAGAAAGTGGAACTATAACATATGGAGATAACAACAAAGGCAAAATAATAGGAACGGGTACTGTTGGTAACTCCTCTAATACCCTTATTGAAGATGTTCTATATGTTGAAGGTCTGAAATATAATTTGCTTAGTATTAGCTAGCTTTGTGACAAAAATTTCAATGTCTCCTTTAATAATGAATGTTGTTTGGTGTGTGATAAGTCAACCAATGAAACATTATTTGTTGGTAAAAGGATTAACAACATATACATCTTAGCATAATCGATTATTTTGAGTTGTCGCAACCCGAAAATTTTTGAATCTCGCAACTTATGGTTTAGACATCCTTTTGAAAATCTCATCAATTAAGGAATGCTCGGACGCCAGACTAATCCTTAATCAATGGTTTTCAAAATAGGTCCTTAGGAGTCGCCACCGATGTTTTACTCAAAATATTCAAAAAAAGAAAAGGTTTTTTTAAGTCCAATAATGGCCTTAATAACCAAAATTGGGTTTGGGGGTCGGTTACGTGTAGGGAAGGTATTAAGCACCCTACAACGCCCTTAATCGGTACTCTATGATGAAGTTAACATTTTAAGCAATAATAATATAAATATTAAAACCCTTTTATTGATAATTATTTACATATTGAAAATTTAAATTATACGACTAACCCTAAAATATATACATGATTGCGTTTGTTATAAATAAAAGATAGAGATAAAGATGAGAAATAAAAGATATAGAAGAAGATTGATTGAAATACCTCTTGAACGAGCTCTATTGAATCTTCAAATATGGAGAAGGTGCTTTATGGCAGCCTTTCACACTACAATATGCCTCACAAATCTCAAGAAATACAATATAAGGGAGAGAGAGAGAAATTTCGAGCTCTAAGGAGTCTTGGACGAAATTTTTGTCCCTTGAGAACTGTGCCCGAGATTTCTATTTATAGGCATCAGATGTGGGCCAGAACGGCCCGTTCCGGATCCGAACGTTATGTGTTAATTTTGCACCCTAGAACGGCCCGTTCAGGAAACCAGAACGGCCCATTCTGAAATGAGAACAACCCGTTCCGGGGTACAAATTAACACTAAATTCCCTTCCCAGAATGGCCCGTTCCAAACTAGGTTTGTTAGATCTTTTAACCTTTTGGAACGGCCCATTCTGGTTTAGGAACGACCTGTTCCAGACCAAGTTTTTTAGGCCCTTTGATTGGTTTGGAACGGCCCGTTCTGGTCTGGAACGGCCCGTTCCAACCTACAATTGTTAGGCCTTTTAGGAGTCTCGGAACGGCCCGTTCCAATTCAAGAACAGCCCATTCCGGACTGTAGACACCCAATTTCGTCCGGGAGGCATACAAACAAGGAAATGGACATTTGTTATGGAGGGAAGAAGCCCCCGAAGCACGCAAACAACAAGACAGGACTTTAGAAGGCCCAAAAGCCCAAACAAGCTGATTTTAGAAGACTGGAACGGGTTGTTCCAAAACCGGAACGGGCCGTTCCCAATTTGGAACGGGCCATTCCAAGTTTCTAAAAAGGCCAAAAACCCTAAATTGGAACGAGACGTTCCTAAATTGGAACGGGCCGTTCCCAAACTGGAACAGGCCGTTCCAAGTTAACAAAAAGGCCTAAAAACTCCTTTTGGAACGGCCATTCTAGTTTAGCCAATTGTGTGTTAATTTCACCTCTGGAACGGGCCTTTCTAGTTCCAGAACAGGCCGTTCGAGTCACAAAATTAACACACAACGTTCAAATCCAGAACGGGCCGTTCCGATTTTGGAACAGGCCATTCTGGACCCTTTCTAAAATCTATAAATAGACAGCTTGAGCTCATTTCTCAGGACTCCAAAAAATTTCGTCCAGATTCCTTAGAGCACAAAATTTCTCTCTTTTTTTTTCTCTCTCTCTTTTGTATTT